GTATATCATAACAGTACGAATAGTACATGAAATGTTGGCGAAAGTTGCGCATTGCGGCACGGCGCTCGGGTGTCACAGTGACAAAGTCTTGAACGTTGAGGTGGGCGTTGTGCTCAGTGCAGTCAGAAGCTTCTAGAACCTCCTGGATGGGATCAGAAGCACAACCATCCAAAACGAGGTCCTTTAATTCAGAAACAAAGGGTGCATATTTATAGTTGACTTTGTATTTGCCTCCTGAAGTTGCCCAATTGCTGGCGTCCCAAATTGTAGCGTACAAGGACATTGGCTTTGTAGGGTAATCTCCACCCATTGCCTCATTTCTCACCACTTCTCTAATGGGGACTTCGTCAATGTAAAATCTAAAAAAGAAATATAGAAATTAAATTTGGACATTTGAAATTAGATTAACTAATTCAAGTTTTTGAAACATATTATATGTTTCAACCAAAATTTAGAGACAGGATAAATAAAATTATTGGTAAGTGAGTTTATTTCTTTAAAGTTAAACTGGACAGTTAAAAGATAAAATGGTTTTTTCAAATGGATGCAAAATTAATTCAGAATAAACCAAACTTACTATCATAGAAAGAAAGAATCATGCTTGAAGAGAGGGAAAGGGGGAGGAATGATAATTAGGGAGCAAAATGAAAGGAAAATTAAGAGTCAAATCAAAGTGGTGGACCCCAAACAGAAATGCTCATCCAAGTCTTTAGTTTAAAGCAAACCAGAGGCATCACATGGATATACCCGTTGTGATTTGTGAATGGGTAGTGTTTACTTTTTTGCCATGTGATCCAAATTGTAGCTTTGTTCACAAGTTTTGTTTCGGCCTTTCACTAAAAAGAACGAAAAGTAGTTTAAAGCCTAACTCTGACTTTGTGCAATGCAGTTCCCACTGTTTTCCTTTCATTCTATCATATGCTACAAGAAACTGACCCAATTACTTAATTTGAAGTCCCTATTAATAAATTCACGATTCTAACAGGAATTTTCACTTCAATTATTCCTAAAATGATTCCTTAGCCCTATAATTTCCATATAATAATAATAATAATAACAACAAAAAAAGACACCAGCATAAGAATAAAAGTACCATGTTGAACTTCTATGATGATGGATTCTTTTTTAAAGAACTAAATTAAATAAATTTTAAAAGTAAATTAAATAGTTTAGTCTATGAACTAGAAAATTCTTCAGAACCCTCTTTTGATAATCCGTTTAATTTTCAATGTGTGTGTATATTTTTTTTATTTTATAATTTAGCTAAGAAAATAAATCGTTGGAGTCAACCACTTTCTGTTTTGAAAAAAAAAAAACTTTCATTCGTCTCTCTCACTCCCCATTCCTATAATCAATTCCTAAAATGAAAACTGAAATAATGAAATTTCTGGACGCAACGATTCAGGAAAAACTGAAATGAAAATAAGTCGTACCTATCTCCATTAGTGACCGTTCAATCATGGTGGAACCAAACCAACCATCCATCAAATTCCACACGCAATTGAACTTTTCCAATTTCCGTTTCGTTCCATTACCCTCGGCTTAGGCTCTCAATATCTACCCTTATTTTTAATTGATTATAATTTTAAAATTCCTAATAAACAACTTTTAAAAATACAGAATAAAGTGTATTAGCTCAAAATATAAATAAATAAAGAAATAAAGTTAAAAATGAAAATGAATTCGAAAGTTAATTTAAGTACTTACATGACATTGTGAGCGGTCCATAGAATGCCGTATTGGTGGAACTCCTTGGTCGGGTCGAACCATAGCCGATACCGCTCCTCGCGACCCCGGTTCGTGCTTCCATTTCCATATAGATTGGTCTGAAACCTCCATGGTTTTCCTTCAATGTTCCCTAAAAACTCGAAGTCCAACTCGTCGTGACTCTTCTCGAATACGTCACCGTTCGAGGTCTGTTATGGGCGAAAAATGAACCAAAATTCACGGCGATCATCACAAGCAATCATGGAGGAGGATGAAAGAAAAGTTCTCATTCACATCATAAGAAAAGTTCTCATTCATTTGCTCACAATAAATGAATACGTTTTTCAGTTTCTCTGTTCGATTAAATAATTCAACGGTTACGACTTCTGTTTGACCGAAATTCGGGTAAAACTTTCTTTATTCAATATTCGCGGCTTTTAACTTTTCTCAGCAACCAAACAATTAAGGCATGATTAAACAAAACTTCATCCATCGCTACTTACGTAGAAGGCTACAACGATGCCAGCGGTGTAATCGGATGGCAATTTGATTCTCGCGCTGAAGAATCCATGTTTATACATCTTCGACGAAATGAATCCAGAGCCTGAAAAATCAATTAAAAAACCAGAGCAAAACACACACACACACACACACACAAAAATCAAACCGCAGAAATTCGAACACGTACTCACTCATAAACAGAAATTTCAGAAAATTACCGGTGAAGCGATCGAGAAGAAGGCGAACGGATTTTCCGTCTGGAGAGCGAACAAGGTTTCCGTCGCCAAACAGAGGCGAGTAGCCTTCGTTGAAACGGATGGTAGTGACGTTGAAAGAAGCGTATGCAACAGAATTAAAGAAACCGAAGATTATCAACATCAACATCAGGAGATTCGAACCTCCATAGCTACGCAGCCAAACATCCATACTGTCTCTCTCTGTTTCTCTCTCTCTCTCTCTCTCTCTCTATATATATATATATAAATATATATTTCGTCTATGATTCTGTATACTTGTGTATATATAAATATACAAAAAGAATCTCACTAAAATAAGAATACGATGAAGAGCAGAGAGGTCTGAGATTGAAAGCTTATTTATGTTTAGAAAGACGAAGAGATAGGAAGAAGAAGAAGAAGAAGAAGAAGGGTTGAAATTGGGTGAAGGAGTTTCTGATGCGTTTGTTTTGTTTTTGAAATACTACTTGACGAAATTGCCCTTCCACGTTCGCGATATTTCGGGAGAGCCATTATTTTCGTGAGATGGATTGCATGAGTTGCCTATTTTCCATATTCAAACAATAAAATAATAAATAAATAGAGAATAAAAGTAAAAATATTGTATTGCATACGGACTAAAATTATTTTTTTATTCATTCTTAAATTTGTCAGGCAATTAAATTTAAATTTTATTTCTATTTATTTTTTAAATTTCAAAAAATGACATACTTATATTTAAATTTAAATTTTATTGATGATTAGTTTACAAAATTTAAAATTTATTTCTAAATAATTCACTGACATCATAATTAAAATTGTTAAATAATACATATATGAGTTTATTTTTTTTATTTTTATAATATAGTTAATTTCAAGTTTAACGTTCCGATTAAAACTTAAATTTAAATTTAAACCGTTTCTTTCGATATTTAGAAGGCCAAATAAAAACTTTTAAAGATGAAAATAATAGTTTTAAAAACTTGTATTAAGATAAATCTCCACGATATACTTTAAATAATTAAAATTTTATATTAAGATTAAATCTCCACGTTATATTTTAAATAATTAATAGATATTTGTTTGTTTGTTTATTATTGATTATTACTTTATATATTAATAGTCATCCATGTAAAATAAATTTATTAATGTTAAAAGTCAAGAAAAGAGGATTTTGACAACTAAAAATATCTCTATAATTATATATATACCATCCCACTTTGGTAATATTATGTGTTTTATTATTATTATTATTCTCAAATATCCCACCTTAATTAATGAAAAGAATAATGATTATTGTTGAAATAAAAAATTAAAATTAATGGAACTTTAATATTGACAGGCTTTATGGAAAATTTTAGGAAAATAAAATAAGTGATTTTTCAGAAGAAGAGAGTAAGGGAAGAAATTATATATTTGGATGAGCTGGTGACCTTAATTTTCTTTATTTTTTTTAATTCAAAAAACGGAAAATGACAATAATTTTTTTTAATAAAAAAAATGGTAATAAATCTTTCTTGTTGAAATGCATGCTTAATGGAGATGGACAGGTGTTTCCATTTAATTAATAATATTTTGACTAAAAATTATGATATAAAAATAAAATGGAAGTTTGAATTTAAATATAATTTATTTATATTTTCTTACTGTTGAAGCAATAAAATGAAAAGGGGATGAGTTTGTTTATGACAGCACTGTGATTACCTACCAAACATAGGTTAGGCGCTGGACTTCATTGTTATTTTTGGTTATTCCGTAGGTCATATCTGAGGAGTGGATGGTAAATTTCTCGAGGTAATAGGGGTATTATTGTCCCCGTGAAAAAGTTGAGGAGGGGAATTTTGTAATTAAGCCATGAAACAAGGGTATTATGGTAAAATGGAAACCTTTGATTTCTAACCGTCTAGATACGGCGGAGACGGTTGAACGTTTCAATGGAGAAACCGTGTCAGAGACTAACAGCGTCGATATTGGTTTCATGATGTCCTCATCCAGCTCGTTTAGGTTCCTTAATCTTTGTTACATAATGTCGGAAATACCCCCCCTTTTTTCCACACTAGGTGAATTTTGCCGTTAAATTTAAGTGAAATTATAAGTTCAATTTTTTCGCATCTATTTTTTTTTTGTCAAATAATTAAAATATTAAAATTCAAATCTAAAAAAATCTGTCCTAATAAAGGTATTTAATAAATTTCAAAGCCTATGTTATCAAATTTCCAAAACTTCCATATTATTTATTTTAGTTTTTTTTTTTGCAAAATCATCATATATATATATATATATATAATTTATATTTTTTTCATTTTTATGTTTAATTTGAACACTGATTGATAAAATTTTATTTAAAATACATGAACGTATTTATTTGATCTTTAATTCTAACATATGGAGTGAGAATGCATGTCCTATGGTCGAAAAAGATGTCTTCACGTAAAAGAATCACTCTAAATGTTCTATACAATCATTTTACATTTTTGTGAAACAAAAATGTAACATGTGAACTAACCAGCCACAAACTTTTTCTAGAACATTCAACCCTCAACTCCATGGACAATTGGTGCCCCACAAGGGGGAAAATCCTGTGAAAATCAATACACTTTACAAATAGCTACCATATAAAATAATCGTAAGGACGCAAGAGTTTTGAAGTAGCCATCTCAGATTTGACATGGGGAGAGAAAAGAATCATCATTCAAGTTCCTAGTTTGATTTACGCAAGTGTTGGCCCTTGTCCAAGTCATAGGTACACTATACATCTTTGACAAAAACATAGCTAAAGCCCCTTTCTTCACTCGCCATCACTGAATAAACCCGTTGCGGTAGTTACACGAGCATATGCTTCCAGCAACCTATCTTTCAGCTTTTGACAAATTGGTATTTTGATTCGACGTAGCTCTCTGCATCCCAGAGGAATGATCCAAACGCAACTGCCTCAAGTACTAACATTGTCAGCCCGGAGAAAGTAACAGTGATCACTTCGTCGTTGAGTGTGTCAATCGAACCATCATCAGCTATCCGAATGTCTGGCTTTCCAAACAATGCCTGAGTCTGCTTTTCAATCAAAGATATAGCTTCTTTGGATCTCAATGTTGCATATTTTTGAAGTGTTTCAGAATCCAAATACATCACATAGGATCTCAATCTATTCGATTTGCCACCATCTGTATCCATAAATCCTACACTGTCACCGACTCCCTCATCATCAGGTGGAATCATGATCAAGGAATCGGGATCCCAGAGTTGATTTCCTGGTAATGACTCATCAAAGTCTCTGGTAAATGCTTCAGGCAGAGTTTTCATGGTCCTTTCAAGTTGGAAACGTTCATCAACTCTTTTAAGAAAGTATCCATACATTATAGAAGCTGCATATAGCTTGCCTAGTTTTATTTTGCTCATTTCAACAATGGAAGTAAGGGGGCCATCAAATCGTTCTCCAAGTACAAGGGACAAGTGACTTTGTATCATTTCAAATGCTTCAGGAGAGTGAACAGATTCAAGTTTTTGCTCTTGGTTTGGCCAAAAATCAACCCTGCCAGTAGGATCTGAGGTTTCAGTTATCTTGGGGATCATCGAAATGTCGTTCTCAACAAACTTTCCAACAATCAAGCAGTACAATATCTCTTCCAATGTCTTTCGCCTTTCTTTCTCTCTCACTTCAGCTATCCTCCTAAGATTCATTGATTCAACTGCATTAGTGACTTCTCACGTAAAGCCAATAATAGAAATCAAGTGATTAATTGATAATTTGGTCGATGTACAAAACTTATTCCCATCTGTTGTGGACTAAGAAGCAAGGATATGGATATGAGATATGAAACACGAAAACTACAACATGAACAAGGAGACGGTCATTTTTTAAACATCTACGACATGTACATGGCAACAACACATTAATTAAAATATACATTTTAAGAAATATATATAATTTTTATACCAGAATATTTCACTCTCAAAGTTTATTATTTTGTCTTATATTATTATGTTTCTATCTAGTATACTTAACAAATGTTGAGCCTATATTGACTTTGTCCAACTAGCCTCTAACACACAACTATTGTGGTAATCAGTGTCGAAATGTGCCCAACAAGGGTCAGCATGTCCAACTGTTGGACACAAACAAACCAGCTAAACTATGGTATTTGAGCTTCTTAGATGGTGGATGTGGAACCGTAAGCACGGAGATAGCTATAACAGCCACACTAAATTGCTGTTTCTTTTAAATTTAAGAGAGAAAATTGGCCAACAAGCAATTTCAAACATGAATATTCCAGCTTAATCCATAATCTTTCACACAGCATATAGTTACTCAACACTACCTTTACTTAAGAACCTATAAACGTGATTTGTTGCTGAGAGAAAAGAAAGAGAGAACACGCACTTACTTGTAGAGAGGATCTTGAGATGACGAAGAAGCCTCTTCTGTCTGCAAATCTCTCTCAGTTTGAAGGTTATCAAGTTGCTGATCAACAGTTGCAGGAAGTAAATGAGGATGGGATTGCAAAATCTGGGCCAATAACTGACCGACAGGGGATTCAAATTGAACAGGTGCAACTGGAAATACATTTTGAGAACCACCTGAAGCTCTAATACTTAAGCCCCTTAATCGAAATTTATCCAAACTAGATCCAGATTTTGGCATGTAAAATGATGAACACCCCTGATAAACAAGAGAAAGAAGGTCAAAAATTTTTTACATAAACAAAATGACAAGTTTGTCGCTGCGCATCTGTGGCCAAACCATAAATAGATGGAAGTGAACAGTAATGCATATGAACATATGACGTCCTCCATACCATGCCCATGTATCAAAGCACAATTGTGATAATACTTTCCAACTTTGATTTGAGACTCTCTTCTGAACTTTCTCAATCCAATGCATTCGCAAAACTAATAAATTCTCCCTTTCTTGATTCCCCAATACAATATCTTTGTACTTTACGAAAATTAATCACCAAAAATGAGGATCTATGTAAGCCAATTTGATAGCCATTCAGTATACATCAGATTCTTAACAAAAAAGCACTCCATAAAGTTATTACTTGTTAACTAATTCCTCTTCAAGACACCGTCATCAATCTCGATTCTGAGTAATCCTACATCTTCACTAGGTCAATCCATAAACTAACAAATCAAACATACAACACGGAGTATATATAATTCAAATTGTTGAAAAATAATGCAAGAAGAGAAAATAAACACAAGCGTGGTGGAATCGAAGCAAGGCTTCATAACCTTTCCCATGGAAGCTTTCAATTTGACTAGATTAAGTCAAATTACAGAAAAGAAAAGAGGAAACAGAAAACTCACTCTAAAGAATCCAGCGGAAATGGAATTCTTCGAATCGATAGAGGCATGACAGTGTCTCAGCTCGGACGACCTGATGCCTCCAGCCGAGGGAAACACGACGGAAACGTCGCCGATTACACCGGAAATCTGCATTTTGTGCAACGTGAAGAAGTCGCTTAACAAATGAAGACCGACGATACCCTCGCGAGGGATAGACGCAGGATTACGTTTTTCACTAAGATTTTTCCCCCCACTTTGAATAATAAATAAATAAAACAAAATAAAATAAACTACAAATGTCAAATTTTAAAAATATCAAATAAATTATTGAACACAAATTTCTAAACTACAAATTATTTAACGTCAACGAATTTCTAAACTATAAAGAGTATGCAATATTTTAATAATTATTAAAAAAAAAAAAAACTTGTAATTTCAGAAATATATTAAAAAATAAAAGTTTAAAATTTAAATAAAATGCAAAATTCACTTATTTGCGGGTGTAAATGTTTTTATTTCAAATTATCTTCCAAAGATTTAAAATATTTTACTAACATCCAAAAATTTGTAAAACATATAAATGTGACTATTAAAATTATTAATTATCTATAATAGCTTTGCAAAGTTCATTTCCACATTTATTTCTTAATAATTCATATATAGTTTATATTTTAATTTGAATTACAAGTTTTAAACTTATTTAAAATTAATTATATTATTAATATATTTAATAAAATTAAATAAAATTTGACTAATTCAAACTCGATCAATTTTCAAGATGTTTTCTTTAGGTCAATTGACACACCCTAGTCTAACCATAGTTCAGATCATACAATTTTAATTTCAAATTTATTACTGTTTATTTAAACATAAAACGTAAGTGAATTATTAGACCCATAACCATCGCGATTATTAAATGTTACTAACACCCAAGGGTATTAGACTAGTTTGTTGAAATTCAAAAATTTTCTATCAAATGCTCATTTGTTTAGTTGAATTCAATATCCTACTGAGAATCAAGACAGAGACCACAAAAGTTGGAAATAGAACATCTTTTCTACTTGAAAATGAAATGCATGTTCAGAGCACTGTTGGTTGTTGTTCTTGCAAAAGAACTGTAGAATCTTGGAATCTTGGTGATGGAAATGCTGAATACAATTATGAATATGCTGCAACTCAAATCAATGTTCGAAAGCATATCGAAATGCCACGATTTCAACCTCAACTAGCACGAAAACATAATTTACAAGAAAAAAAAAATCAACTGACATGTTGCATAACACTCATCAAATATGGGGTACAAGGATACTAACACGGGGCTTCAAGGTTAAAGACGAAGCCTCTGAAAGAATGAAACGACGATCAACAGTGCCTAGACGACGCAGGTCAGTTCTTATGAAATGTAAACGACAAGCTATGCAAGGTCAGGTTATGTGCCTGGAGCTGAATTAAGTAACTACGGTAGATTCTAACTACCCGTTGGTGAACTCGGTCCAGGATGTACGCTGAGCTTCTTTATTCACATTTTGGCCATCTTTGGTGGCTCTTGGATCTTCTTTTCCATCACTTTCTCCAAGCCTCCTCTGTAGAAAAGAAAATTTCAGGTAAATTATGAGTACAAGGTAAAATAATCTTCATTTCCATTACTTTTCATTGATACCCTTTCCTATGAGTCTATGAAAAGGCACTTCTATTCTGCCTTGAAAATCAAACATGGCTTCATATTTGGAGATTCAATCTACAAGCTTGAATATCAAAACTATGGGGTCTTAAAGAAAGACGGAAGTGAAATAGCAAGGTCGATTTCAACGATGTCGTTCTTATTATACACGTACCCCACTCTTTTCTTTGCTTCATTGAGATAAATGGTAAAAATGTCTAGATTTCAAGTTATTGGCATCACCTTGAGAGAAGCATTCTCTGAAAGAAGTTGCTCGTACTCACTCCTAATCCTATCCACTTCGGACCTAAGACTCGCATTTTCCTCATTCAAAGCTTCGGCACGATGAGAAAGCTCGTCACATTCAGCCTAAGTGAAAATAATAATAATAAATATATCAAGCAGGAAAATCCAATTAATTAAAATATGGCAGCATGAGTCAAGATCGTCCAATTTGATTATAAATTTAAAAAATGCCTAATTACCTGTTTGCGCAACCGAGACCTACGAGCAGATTCTCTGTTTGACTGCTTCCTTTTTTGCCTTTTTAGCTCTCTTTCATCCTGGATCCACAAAAAAAACATGTAAAACCTCATTCTCTTCATCTGAAAACACTGAAAACTGGGAAGATATTTTTTTTCTTCAAATTGATATTTGGTCAAGCTGGTTCAAGCAAAGCCATACGGGTTGATAGTACTTACCTATACTAAAGAATGATTTTGCATTAACACTGTACAAGCATGCATTACAATTACTCATTAGTTGAAATAGTACACCTGGGCCTGAGTATGAGAAGAAGAGGTTGAACTTATTCCCATTCATTTTGTGACCTAACACCAAATTCAAGTGTGTCCTTATCCTTTTTTTTCTTCCCTCCCCAATTCAAATTGTATTCAAGTTTCCATGTCCACAATGTAATTTTATCATTTTACATAATTAGTGAATTGATGTATGTGCATGTCTATATGATATAACTTTGGATATCCGAGCCCACTCAAGCGCAATATTCGACAAAGTTGGACCAAACCTGTAACCAAATCTGTGACTGAATGCTGTCCCGTGACCCAGCAGCAGCAGCTCCCACAACCGGAGCGGAAGGGACCTTCCCACCCAATGAAGGGATGGCAGAAGTTGTAGGAGTACCCCAATAATCCATTCCTATATTCAAATTTGTAGCAGGACCTGAAACAGCTCCAGAAGCTTGAATTGGTATTATGGACATTGTTTGGTTCACCAATGGATGAGCGAGACTATGTCCTTCATTCTGAGAACCGTGCATTAAACCATTAGGAGTCCCTCCACCTGTACAAAAGAAAAAAAACTTCCTCATCAATATAAAAAACTGAATACATGGACTGCATAATAGAAAAAAGTCCCAAACCTTCTAAAGAATCTTTCCCAGATCCAGATTTTAGTTGTGAATCCTACAAAAATCAGTGAAGCTACGATAGATCAAATTACATGTGTTGGGACAGAACCCAAGGGGTACGAGGGGCCCCTCAAACAACAATAGGTTGATATATAACATCTACAGCAATCGTAAATGTAAAACAATATAACCAAATAGATACAGGCGCATGTTTACCCATCCTTCTCAAGTTATGGATATTGATTTTAACATTTCAGTAATATAACAGATAACTCAATATGTGATTTTCCTCCACAAATAAACTTTCAAACTCCAATTGTGCATAACAATAAACACAATAAAACAGGAAACGGAATGGGCAAACTTGGACTTGGGCCTATCCACACCCTGCCTTCAAGAAATATGGAGGAATCTATAGAATAAACATTCACATGGTTATTGTAGCCGCAGAACGCTTACATTTTGAGAGTCAGCATCACTTCTTTCGCTTGAACCTTCACTTTCACTTTCAGTGCTGCACAGTGAGGTTCATCATCACATAAGCTAAATGTAAATGTGAAAGATGAGATGTAAATTAAGGACAGGACAAAATATTCTTTAAACTCAATGCAAACTAATGTTGTCAAACCTCAATACGACAGAATACTAGACTGGAGTTCAAGTGTGCAGTCAGCGAAACAAGTTTACAGTTTCTTATTATTAATGAGAACTGAGAGAAAAAATCAAAGCAGAAAACAAGGTCGGCCAGTTGAACCTTTTGGAGGACTTAGAATGTATTATATTCTTGATACCTGCCCTATACGTTGCACTTGTGTCCACATAAGACCCCAATCACAAAAGTTAAAAGCAAGTAAATATGGAAGTCTGACCATCATGAATTGAAAGCACAACCGATCCCAAATATATCTACATGACATGTCATACCTTTTAGAATAAACACCATTAGCAGATGCTCCTGATGGTTTACCAAGCTCGTTGTTCTTCCCAGTGATCATGTTTAAACTTCCCAGACTTCCTTTCGATCTTTTAATTGGCAACTTTTCTTTCAGCTCAGAGGGCTTACCATCCCCTTCCATGTTGCCTGGTGTATTCCCCTATGTAAATTTTTTCCAGTCATTCACCCACAGTCCTCCTCAAATTGAGAAAAGATGTTATTAAAGACATAAGCCAGTGGAGCTGGAAACTTACAGAAGCCTCAGCAATTCCATTTGGAGAAGCTATAGCAAAAGGACTGTAAGGATATGATCCCTGTGACAAGCATGGGATTCTCAGGGTTAACATAATCCAAGATATAAGCAAATATAAACTGCGAACTGCAGGAAAAATAAATCTACAAAAAGTACCGGAGGAATAGGTGGATGAGCATATATGCCACCATGGGGATACATTGCAACATAGGGATGTGGAGGGGTACCATAAGGGGGCATAATGGGCTGCATCAAACATTTAGAATATTATCTGGTAAAGAATGAAAAAATGTTTAGATGTTTCAGCTAATCAATAATTAAAAAAGTGAAGCTCAAAAAGGGGATAATTCCTTATTTTATGGATGATTTCTTCTCCATAAAATATCTGACGCTCATGCCTATTTGAAATATCAACGATAATTTTGACAAGCTAGGCTGATTATAAAAAGGTATAAGAACATATGTAAGCATAACAACCAGGAATTCTTATACCGGCATAGAGGAACTCTATAACTACAATATTTACAAGTTGTAAGAAAATATTGTAAAAAACAAGAGGACAACCTGTCAATAAAATATTTATAAGATGCTGGCATCTTTTGTTTTAAGCAAATAAGCACATCACTCATGAACTTAATGTTGCATTTTAACATGTTTCCACCAACGATTCTCAAGTTCCGAGGGTGCGATCCCCATATGCAATCACTATCTCGAGAAGAATAAGAAAGTAATAAAAAGTGCACGTAACTTTCCTTGAGGCCCAAAAGTTGTAAAAATGAGACGACCACACTTTAGACACAATAAAGACGTCAAGAAGTGTATGAATCTAGCTCTATATGAAATTAGATGAAGAATACCATCCATTCAATAAAAGAATATGCATGTGGTAATCACTACATCTACTAAATCTCTTCATACTTTTGGTCAGTGATCCACTTTTCAGAGACCATCATCAAACATTAAAGTCTCCCCCGATACACCAGGAGCAAGAGTATAAACCAGCTAGATTATCAATCTTGATAAAAT